TGTAACCGTTTAAGGTACTTTCACCCTAGATATAAATTTTCTTGAAAATTCGTCTAAGTTTGCCAAATAGGTATTTAATTTCAAAATAAGTTTTCTGATCGTTTTTAAAATGAGTCTAATGAAGCAATCAATTGAAGAAAAGATGTCGCAAAGTATATTCTATAACTTCAATATCATGAAGCGTTCTGTTAAAACAACTTGTGAATTCGAAGAAGTTCTTTCACCCGTAAGAAAAACAAAATTAAATCTTATTATTTTGATGAATATTTCTTGTGACTTAATGAATAAATTAAAATTTGCATTTCAGACAATGTTCATCAAATCAAATACAAAAGCTTTTATTCACGTAACTCACTTTTTGTTTAATATTATCGATCAAAAAGAGTTTAAAGCCAAGTTTCTCTGGCCCATTTTGGATAAGAAAAGAGAAAACATCTACCGGTAACTTAAACGATACAAATTAAGTACGATCACATTGTTCTAACGTAAATAACGATTTTCTAGAACCTCATCAGTTGAATTTGTAAACAGAATTATCGAAAAGTACAATCTTCGTAGAGATAAAATTACACTCGCTTTTGTTGTTCATCCTACAGGAAAGAAATTTATGTCATTGATTCTTGACTTGATTATCCTTGCATCGAATGAACTCATGAAGCGTCGAAATTTTTCTCATGAAAAATCATTCGATATCAATAAAGCAATAGAAACAGTTAGTGAAATAAAATACAATGAAACTGAGCTTATAGCGGAAATAGCAAAGTACATCCAAGAGACTCAAGAAAATATTCTGGCCATTCAACAGTTTTTGGAAAAAATTTATCCAAAAGAAGAATTTACTACACCATTCCCAGAACTTATTGCATCATGGAATGAACACAACATCAGATTGTTATACGAAATCAAGAAACGAAATGGAGAAATTAAAGAAATCTATAAGAAAGCTGGAGATGTTCATGAGAGAGCTACAAATTTACTGACATTCAAAAATAACGAAATTTTTTCTCCAAAAAGTGAAGAAATCAGAGATGTTGTTGATTTTTATGAAAATAATATTTTAGGAGCTTTGAATGAGTCAAAAACTGATCAGAACCTTTTCCAAGGTGAACTTACATATTCATGGCTTATTCACCATTTGAATCATGTGATTGATGCGATTTTACAATTTGTCACAAATTATTCACCTGAAGATGTCGAGGCAGTGAAAGAATATTCATTAGCTATTGAACAGTTTGTCTTCAAACTTGATAAAATCAAAGCAGATCATAACAAATGGCAGTCGAAGATTAAAAAAACAATTCCAGAAATTATTCAAAAATTAAAAATATTGAAGGATGAAGAGAAAAAACAAGAAGAAACAAGTATTTCACTTGGAGAGTTGGAAGAATGTGAGTCCGATGGTCTCGAATCAGAAGATTTAAAACTTATGTTATCACCTAAATACTACTTTGACGTAAGTGAAAAGTGTGTAAGGACAGGTGCAGCAGAGAAAACTCGACTTGCTCTCTTGAATAATAGTAATGATAGTGAAGATGGAAGAAACAAGGAAAATTTTAACGAGAAATCAAAGTTTTATAGATCTAAAAGAGCACCATTTACTAACCAAACATCTTACATGAATCAATCGCAATCAACTACTACAATGGGTCCTCCGAATAGTCTTCGCAAACGTTTTGATTCAATGGAGATTTTAAATCGTGCAAAGAGTGTAAACAAAAATAATGTTTCCAATTTAAGTTCCAAGTACACTGGCACTATTAGAAAACAAATTTCTTCAACTCCTAGATTATCATCCACAATGTTTCCAGGTGATTCTCATTTTTCAGAATTTAATTTTTCAGGAATAAGTGAAGTTACTTATTCACCCGATGATGTTGTTAACGGATGTGAAGGTAGAAAGCAAATTATTGAAACAGAATTTGAAATTGAAAGAATTATCAAGGATAACATTTTATGTTTTGATGCTGAAGTAAAGGATAAAGATCAATCTGTGTCGAATATAATTTCCTTGGAAAGAGCTGAGAAAACAATGGTTTTAAAATCTAAAATAACTGATGAAGATAATGAAATACATCAACATGAATATGAACCAACTGAGGAATTCCAAAAGACTGTCGAAAATTCCAGTTTCCCATCATTAAAACATCAAACTGATGAAGATCTGTTCAATATAAGTGATACTATTTTGAAAACGATTGAGGAATAGATAGAAAATTGGAGATGGGCATGCCTCACATGGGCAAGCTTCAAATTATGCCACAGCATAATTTTAAAGATACTCCGGCCTATGCAGGATT